TGTAAGTGACTTGTGGCTTCTCTGCCGTCCGTTTGCAGCTCTTCAAACAGCACAGCACAGACACTCATGAGTACAAAGTGAGGAATGGCCTGGAATAACCTACAAAACTCACAGGTGAGCGTCTCTAAATACTGAAATTTAAGTGGACACTACAAGTATTAAAGCTAATTTACACAATAGCGCCCTTCACAAACAACTGATAGATTTAACAGTGCCTGTAAAGACGCATTTAAGAAGAAGGTTTCTAAAGTTTTTGGAACATTTTTAGTGCCATCAGGTGCAGCTGACTGAAACAAGCTCTCCTCCTCACTGTCCTCGTTCATAAAGTGCTCTATCAACCGTAGCTTAGCTAGCCAACAATGTAAACTCACTGCTTAAGAGACAGAAGAGTGACAGGATGGTAAACCCTTGTTTTTTCTTTATTGCCTGGGGCGATTCAAAAGACACTCTTAAACTGCTTTTAATGTTTCGGTCTCCTTGCTTTCCACTGCAGTGCTGGTCCTGTCTGTTACCAGCACCGGCACGAGATGGCTGTAAACATGTTCTTAAATCCAACTTCACAAACAGGGCTCCATGGTGTAAATTAGGCTTTATACATGTAATGTTCCAGTTTAAATATGAATCACTGATCAGTTATACATGTTACTATTATTATTGGTGTTGTGTAGTGGTGCAACGGATCACGGTTGATCCGTAATCCGAACCGATCCCACTCCACGATTCGGCACGCACGTGATCCGAAGATTCGAAATTCGAAAAAGAAGGAAAAAGTATGTGTATGGTGGCGTGGTGGGTCTGTAAGCCATAGTTATGGTCAGCGCTAGCGGTCCAAGTGGAGGAGCAGAGGAGTTTGTGGCATTTAAGCAGCCCTTTGCTGCCCAGTCAACCGGGCTGAAGCTATTACAGAAGCTACTGGCGTGTTTAGCTGCAGACGGGAGGCCGTATGATGAACGTGCTTGAGCCACGCTATGATATCCTGTTGCGCGTCCACTTCAGTGACAAGATCGTTCAGAGCATGTATGAGCAGGAGAAGTTTAAAGCTGTGGCTGAACTGTCCCAGGCATCTCCTGTTGCCCTAACTACTACAAACAGGTGGAGCTCCAGGTCAACGGAAAGCTACGTGACCGTGACCGCTCATTATATCACAGCGACGTAATGAACTGTATGTGTTATTGTAGGGTCTGCCTTACAATATAAAGAGCCCTGAGGCGACTGTTGTTGTGATTTGTTTATGAATAAATTTGAATTGAATTGAGTGGTAGATACAAAGCCCTATATTGAACCATAATGTTGTTTAATAATTGTGTGGAATGAGTGTTGAGTTGAATGTTTTTAACAGGCAAAAAAACTTCAATAAGTAAATAATTAAATGTTCAATTTATGTCTTTTTTTGCTGATCCGAAAATTGATCCGAACCGTGAGATTTTGATCCGTTGCACCACTAGTGTTGTGTAGTGTGATGATATATCTAATTGTCTCTTTTCCTGTCCAGGAGGTTGTTGGTGTTGGTCTGCTTCTTTCTGGTTTGTCTCTTCCCCATTTCTCAACGTGGATTATATGTAAATAAAAACATTTGTCATGTGAACATACTTGACTCACAATCATTTTGTACATATTGGGTTTGTTTAGATACGACTACCAGCAGCACTCTCATACATAGTTTTATGTTTTGGTTTTGAACGTCTGCCTGAGCTGCATACTTTCGTAGAAAAACACAATGAAGTTTAGAAAGTAAAAGGTTTAAAATTTGAAGGAATTTAGCCACCATAACGGTGATAAGACTACATTTTATTCACTTCTTGAATTCAAACCTAAAAACAAACATGGGATTGTTTCAGTCTAAAGTTTGAAGGGAAACAAAAATGTCCCTGCAGCAGTTTAGTAGGTTGTCTGAGCTCATGACCTAAAGCAGGCGTGTCCAACTCCAGCCCTCGAGAGCTACCGTCCCCCAGCTTTTAGATGCATCCCTACTCCAACACAGCTGAATCAAATGTTTGGATTACCTCTTCAGCATGCCGTCACGTTTGGCAAAGGCCTGGTAACAAGCCCTTCATTTGGTTCAGGTGTGTCGGAACAAGGATGCATCTAAAAGCTGGGGGACGGTAGCTCTCGAGGGCTGGAGTTGGTTCATCGGTGAGTAGAATACAATAGTTTAAACTGATCTCTGATTTTGTTTTTTTGAACTGGTGAAAGTAGTTCGATTGTGTAAAATAACACACTTCACTAGTTGGAAGCGATCTGTACTAAGCCATGCTAGCAACCATGGTTCATTTTTTTTTCTTTCCATAGTTATGTTGTTACGGATTTGTTTGTTATTACTGTGTGGTGGGCGTGGTCTGCGGTGCCGCTGCTGGGGAGCTGAGCTTTCTCTCCACCACCAGCTCACCCACCTCAGCCTGGGCCGGAGGTCAGCGAGTGGGAGGAACCTGCCATGCCGTCACTGGAGGTCGGGTCCTGCCAAGCCTGAGGAGAACTGATGGATCGATAGGCAGTGATGTCATACCTGTTGAAAGGTGGCCCAACCAGTTATTAGGTTTAGGGGACAATCACTCTTTCACACAGGGCCACGTCGGTTTACATCTTTTCCCCCTTAACAATAAATATCTTCATTTAGAAACTGCATTTTGTGCGTACTTGTGTTGTCTTTGTCTAACGTTTAAGTTTGTTTGATCTGAATGTTATGACGACCTCGGGTAGAAAGACACTGAAGTCTAATCCAACACTAATGTGTACCAGTTACCATAACTTATGTTTCACTGAGGGTTAATTGTGTTCAATACTGGCGTGTTGAATATAAATAACAAATAAACATGTTTAAGTTAACCAGTATAATGAATCAGAGAATATAATAATAGTGATTCCAATAACATAATGAGGCTGTAGAAAGACAGGAGGTGTGGCTGGACATCAGACAGCAACTGACCAAAGTGTGAAGATGTGACATCAGTGAAAGAAGGGTTTCTGGGTTCTTCCCACTTGTATAGAAAACTATTGTTCAGTTGATTGAATTAGTTTTTTAATTAGTTTGAGTATTACTATTTGGTTTGATTCCTGCTAAATTGCTTTGAAAACATTTCTTGCAATTAAAGTCTAAATTGTGGACACTAACTTTTTACCCTTTTGTGAAACCCTAAAGGTAAAAGTCTGAGTGTTATTCTTTATTAGTGCAAAGAGCTCTTACAGGCTACCCTGGCCATTATACATTAATCTCTCCTGTGAGCCTGCTGTCCAGGCGACTAAAGCCTTCCCAGAAATTACAAGAGCCAATCAACAGGGAGCTACCATTAACAGGTGGGACTGACAAGATTTGACCTACAAGGCTACTCAGGTTTCTCCTTATCCAGGAGAGACACCTGGGCGAGTCCCCTCATCCACATTGACTCCAGCTGAACTCTGAATGGGGAAGAGCCAAAACAGATTTCTTGTATTGGAGTTGTGGGTCCTGCAAATCGACATCCACGGTGTTCCTTCCACTACAGACACCTCAGAGAGAAAAATGCATTTTTTTCTACTGTGTTTGCAAAGATGTTTCATTATACTGAAGCTCAGAAGGGATCGGGCGTTTGCTGTGGCAGCACCAAAATTGTGGAATGAGTTGCCTTTACATGTTAGACAGGCACCTTCCTTATCTGTTTTTAAATCACGTCTTAAAACACATTTATTTACCTTGGCTTTTAGCACAGCAGGACTTGTTGATGTCTCTTAATATGTTTTCTTATTAATTATATTATTTTTAATTTTAAGATATTTTTATATGTAATTTAAACTGTTTCCTCTCTTATATTTGTAGCACTTTGGTCAACATTGTTGGATGTAAAGTGTGTTATAAATAAAGATGCTATGCTATGCTATACTGAGCAAACAGCTGCTCAGTGGTATCAGAAGAAAACAACTTTATTAAAAATATTTTAATCAGCATCATTTTCATGGTTACCTGATGATAACATTCATGAACTGAAGATAGCAACCTTTACCGTGAGATCTTTAATCTGCTCAAAACAAAACAACATACTCAAGTTGATAAATCTGCATATGCAACATCTGGAAAGCAGAGAGTAAAATATTTAAGCAAATCTAACCAGTTGATGTAAAAAAAGAGTTAACCTGGAACACTTTTGATGAACTGAGAGTTTTTCTGGTGATTTGTGAAATATGTGTCAATTAAATATTACAGTGATATTAAAATGTGGTCTGTAAATGTTTTGTTTGTGATCTCTTCCTGTTAAAAGGGGGTTTTTCCTTCCCACTGTCACCAAAGTGCTGCTCACAGGGGGTCATATGATTGTTGGGTTTCTCTGTGTGTATTATTGTAGGGTCTACTGTACAATATAAAGCACCTTGAGACGACTGATGTTGTGATTTGTTGCTGTGTCAATAAAATTGAATTGAAAAATTGAATTTTGGCTGACTACAAATATTTGTGTTACATTATACCAGACCACGATACAATTATTCACTCGAACTGGGAGAAGCAAGTAAGTTTTACTTCACTACATGCACTCTGTGCAAAGTTTTAATTGTATAGTAAATACCCCCAAAATGTAACTGTTTCCTTAAAAAGGTTTATATGCTGACTAATCTTCTGACACTTGAAACCATCAATAACTATCACAACATGAATAAATGTAGGTTCGAACAGAAACAATTATTTCAGTTTCCACAGCAGAAGTTTTCTGCATAAATCAAGGACAATTTATTAACTGAGAAAAGTTTACACATACTGCTAATTATGTGGGCAAAATATACATGTGCATATGCAGAAGTCAATATTTAAAAGAACAAAGTGAAAGATTATTTGCAGCCTTTTACAAAGACTGTCTTTTCCAAAATATCATTTAATACTGGATCATATTTGACAGCCTGTGACACAAAGGATCTGTTGTTTACCATGAAACAAAGACAAATATTTCTCCTCTAAATTCCTAAATTATTAGTTGAGCTTATTGCTCATTGAAGAGACACAAATCAAGCTTTTGCCACAGGACTAACATTCTTACAAAAATATGTCTGACAACTTTCTTCACAATAAAACAGGAAAGAAAAGACTGAATATGAAACTCTTATATCTCACTTGTAATGTAGAGGCGATTCTCCAACAGGCGCTGGAAGAACTGACGAGGTGATTCTCACGTTCTGACATGGAAAAAATGAAAGTCATTGAGATAAACGAAAACAAAGTGGTTCATGAAACCTCTCAGGACGTTATCACTAAGGCTTCAAACACAGCTGGGGCATTAGTAAGTCCAACGGCATGACCAAGTATTCAATGGCTGAGACGGATGTTGAAGACAGTTTTCCACTCATCTCATTCCCCGACTGCACGCAGATGCAGGACTTAAAAGAGTTTTAAGTATAACATTCACCATGGTGTCGTTTTCCCTCCATTTTCCATCCTCTATTTGCAAAGAGGCAAAGGCTCACAATGACCCAGGTTTCAGGCTCTTAGCATCTCCAACAGATCACATTAGGACAGATATTACAGCAAGAAAGCCCCATAAGGGTTTAGTCTCTGCTCACAAGACGGAAATATCACAGGAAAAAACTGAAAAAAGGCAGTGTCCTATTCATAAAAAGCCACATCCCCTCAACCACTGCGGGGCGTCACAATAAATCTATTAAGGAGTGTTCCTTAAGCACAGCAGTATTTGTTTTTAAGTTCTGTGTGAGCGGCCTTTGTGTTTCCAGCTCCTCCTGTGTTTTCCCAGTTCCACCCCTGGGCAGGACCTTGGACACTCTTACTGACCTATTTCTCATTAAGTGACAATCAGCATGGCTGCATTTAAGACCGGCGCGGTCATCTCTTCTTCACTGGTCCAACAGCTATCCGCGCTGGATCTCATCTCAGGTTGGAAAAAACTCTGAACCCATCCACAGCGCCACCATCTTCACAAAACTGGACCTGCGTAACCCCTACCATTCCGCATCAGAGGGGGACGGTGAATGGAAAACAGCCTTTAATATACCACTGGGTCACCTTGAATACCTAGTCATCCCATTCATAAATGCACCAGCAGTTTTTCAGGCACTAGTGAATGACATTCTCAGAGACTTCCTAAACCTTTTCGTGTTTGTCCAAGGATCTCCAAGAGCCTCAACTCCATGTTCACACTGTGCTTGAGTGGCTACTGGAAAATCATCTGTATGTAAAAACAGAGAAGTGCGGGTTCCATTCACCATCCGTCACTTTTCTATATTCTGGCAGGGGGACAGGTGAAGACAGACCCTGTCCGAGCAGTCGCTGAATGTCCCACTCCTTTCACGCGCAGCCACCTTCAACATTGAATTCTGACTTGTAAATAATGGAATTTGAAATAAAGAGGTAGGAACAGAAAAAGTGTAAACTTCATCCTACTCAGAATCAGAATTGAATCAGTTGTAAAAGTCAGTGAAGATATCCATCCCTAGTTTACAGATCCACTGGTATCCATATATAATATAACAGCAGGGCTGCTGAACATCAAATGACCAGCAGGTGTCAGCACTTGAGCTGCGCGTCGTGTGCTCTGCCTTTGATGAAGCAAGGATTATTTTGGTAAGTAATAAACACATTTATTTAGTTGGTATTAAAATATATTCAGAATTAGCTAATTAATGCTTTTTTTTAAAAAAAAAAAAAACCTTAAATGATGACACACTGCTCTGCCCTGCATAAGCTCCCTTTATAAGTTTAAGGTATTGGCAATACTGGTCCTCCATCACGATTAAAAAAAATCTCACACGCTGCTTTTTAATGTTTTTTGTTTGTTTGCGTTTTTTTTTTCAAGGAAGAACGTCGTGTTGACGTCACGGCGTACCGTGCCCTGACCTGGCTCGGTTGTGGCGAAGAGGCGGCGCGCCGGAAAGCTACAGGATAGCACGAAGGAAACAGTAAGCGCAACACAACTTTGGGGTTTGTGTTCAAGAAAAACATTTATAGGCGTCTGCGAAGCGATTTCCGAGTAACGAAGACCTGCTGCAAACATCTTTTTATGCAAGCGAAGTAAGCGTTTTGGCCTTGGTTAACTTAGCAAACATTGGGCCCAGCTAGCGCTAGCCGTGGAACTGACTTTTCATCAGCAAAAGCAAAACAAGGTAAGGAGAGAAAACTCGAGGCATTAACATGTCAACAGATTCTGCTACCGACCAATGCACACTGCATATGTCATATTTGTTATAGAATTTACCTAGCGCGTGTTTAAAATGTATAATAAAAACGATGTTCATGTTGGCTAGCTATCTGCTAAATGGACTGGTTCTTATATAGCGCTAACTGCTCAACAACTCCCCTTGATGCTAGCTTCTGCTAAACAGTCGTGATAACGCAGTAAGAAAACGTTTTTACACACAAATAATGCCGCGTGGACAAAGTTACGAGCAACATTAAGTAGGATGGATGAGTCTTTATTGAAAACAGCAGAAGCATTAGCTAACAGGTTAGCTGTAGAGGTTGAAGCTTTAAGACTCGGTGACAAATAGCGGCGCCAACCTGCTCAGGAAGTAAACATCAGCCTGCGTGCTGTGAACGGTCATTGTCTGATCTCCTCTCACCAGCCGGTCGTGTCAGACCTGACGGACACAGCTACTACTCTGGACTGCTACTGTTTTGAAGTGCTCATATTGGAAGTTAGCCCACAGCACCGACTCCTTTATCCTGTCCTCTGAGCTGTGTGTGTTCGGGATCTTGGCTGTGTAAACAGTGCACAGGCAGGAAAAAACTCAAAATGTCAAAAGTTGCGTTTAAAGGTAAAATGAAGTTGAAATTCAAACTTCTGCTAAACATTTAAGCTTATCATACAAACTGAGGAACTTAAAGGTTTTGACTTTATAGAGCTGTAGTGCTCAGGCTAAGTTAGGTTGCTACTGTCTGCTACTCACAGCCATAAACATTACTAATTTATCAGTTTGAATGGTGAATAAATATCGGGCAGATGAATCCATTCACAATTAATAAGTCAGTTATAAGCTGTATAATTCAAGCACGGTCTGAGACTAAGTCAACAGCTCATCTGCATATGTTATTATAGCTCTTACTTCTGGAGCCTTACTGCAGATTTCTCGCTGTGTAAAACAAACCGCGGTGGCTGGAACAGCTACAAAGTTCGCTTTTCTTTTCTTCATGTCGGAGTTTGTTGATCGGAAGCTTTGATGAAGGACTCCCGCTCGCTTTTCCCAGTAAAGGTTTTAATGGTGATCACAGGAACAGCGCTGCTGTTTTCTGTCACTCTACCGAGCTCAGCGTGTCGGTAACGGCTCCGCCTCTTTGCTCTCCGCGGTGTGTAAACAGACTCCACGTTAAACTATGGCAGCGTCATCATCACTGCTGTTGTTCTGTTATCAGTGTTTCTGTTGTGAAGCGTTTTATTCACACGCTGCTCATAAATGCTTTTGTACTGCAGGTCTGCTTTTAGTTGCAGATGTGGGTGAAACGCTGGCGTTCATGTTGACATTGAAGCGCTGCAGAGCTGTGCCTTAAACAAAGCATCGAAGCAAAGAATTTGTCCAGAAATCATTTTTATGATCGAATAATCTCAGATACTCTGAACTGTTGCAGCCCTGAAAAATCACTAAAATTCAGTTTAATGAAAGAGATTTCATCCTTTATAACCACAACATTAACTCTGTTAAAAGGAGAGCTGTGGTCAGTGTGGGCTTCATATGATCCCAACCCTGTACAGATGCAAACACTTAGGATGGGGGGAAACATCAGTACAGTATCTTATCGTGATATCTTGTATGCTGATATTGTATTGACACCAAATATGATATATTATTAAGTGAACTCTGGGAATACTCTGAAGGAGAGGGCTCATCTCATCTGATAGGAGGCAACCCTTTTTTTAAACAGTCACAGTTTGACTTGGACTGACTGCAGTCACTTAGAGAGTTTGTTGAAAGCTTGCAAATAACGTCTGTGTGAGTGATAAATACAGGCAGATTGCCAACATGTTGTCATCAGTCTCAACGAGTCTTTAATAATAAGGACAAGTCATGGGGACACGGCTCATCTGGCTGCCAGCTGTTAGTATTCTGGGTATAATCTTATAAAACAAGAAGGTTGCCAACAACAAATGTAATCGTTAAATGTGAGTTTCTGTGTACGTGGGCAGCAACCCATGATTTTCACTGATTCCCCCTGTTATTGCTGTACTACCAGGAAAAGATTGTGTGTAGTGGCCAAACTAAAATCCTATAATTGCAGAAGAACTCCATCCTTTATGGCAGGTTTCAGTGACAGTGGTCATTATGCTTAACAATGTCATTTTGCAGCAAAAAAACAAATAGCCTTATCTTATTCAGTAAAATAGATATTGATAAAGTTTAACTTTGCATTTCAAAAAGTTGATAAGTTGCAATATGTAATTGCAATGTTACAAAAAAAAATCTCAATTGTATCATGAAGTATTGATTTGTTATTGTTGGCTGTCTGGTGTTTCCTGCCTCTAGCTAACACACGCTTCAAAAATCAACATATAACAATAGTACACATAGCTTCTTCCACTCTGGTATGTTGGTGTGTCCTCTCTCAGTCGTTGTGAATGGACTGGTTCTTATATGGTGATTTTCTAAGCAACCAAAATATGTTTTTGTTTCTGCAGGAATGAGTGATGACCTCTGTGGTGGTGTCAGATGGTGGTGGGAACATAGTGGAGTATGTGACTGTGGTGGAGGACCCCCAGCAGGTAAATGCTTGTATCAACATTGTGGCCATATTTGTTATTTTTGAATGTGTGTTTTATAATGTAATTATGTTTGTGTTTGACCTCCACACTCTGCTGACAGTCGACGAGTTGGAGCACTCTGATTTGATGCAGTAGGAGTGTTCAGGCCATTATCTCCTTTCTTATGGGCTTTATCAGTCAGTGTGTGTTGGCCGGCAAATTCAAAGTATGAAGTTGGCCTCTACAACTGTATTTCGGCTTACCTCCGGCGATTTTTGGTCCTCCTGTGTCAGATGGCTCAGATGGGGTACCACGCTATCAGAACAGCCAACCTTGCTCCGGCGCTGTACATCCTTCTGGCC